ACATGAATATCATTCATAAATATATGATATTACGCTACACATGCATGAGTGATTAATCAAGGTTAACCCAATGTTTTCTTAACACTCTTTTCATTTACTATCATGTATCGAACCCTTAGGTTTAGGGAGGTGTTGGTAGATAAATAAAACTAATTACAATTGATTCAAAACCATTAAAATACATAAAGAAGGTTGAAGTTGAGTGGACAATGAATTTTTAAATGGTACAACAAAACTAGTGAAAGTTCATGTTCCTATCGGTAGATCAATAGAAGTCATATTGGTAGAACATATCATAGCCGGTCGAACATATCACAGAATATTGTTCTATTGATAGGTCACCTCTATCTACTAGCAAAAGTCTGACAGAGTTGTGTCCTACTTGTAGGTCTTCATTTCATACCGATAAAACACCTCACAAAATGTTGTTCTACCGGTATGTCACCCCTTCCTACCTGTAGAAGTCTTGATAGAACATCGTCCTACTGATAGGTTTTTACTTTCTACCGGTTGAAGTTTGACAGAACTCTATTTTAATTCCATCTTCTTCCTTTTTTTTTTCAACCCTACAATTCCCAAACACCAATCACCGCATAAAAACATATTTTCCCATGAAAATCCATACTAATAGCATACCCATATCAAAACTAAAACCCAAACCACCCCTTACAACCACAATTCACAACCCAAAACCCAACTCAAGATTTTAATAGCAAAATGCATAGATTTTCAGGAAAATTTCTTAACAAAAGAAGTTACCATCCTACAATTCTTTTGAATTTTCTTCTTTTCTGTTGAATTTTCTTTGGCCTTCTCTCTTTCTCTCCCTCTTTCTCTTTACATTTTCTTCTTTTTTTCTCTCCCTTCAATGACTCATCTAATCCCCTAATTACACTAAAGTCCACTTTTGTTTCCCTTGCTCACACAAATGACCCATAATTTAAATCACTTGATAATTTACACACAAATGTCCCAACACTTTAATAAAATCTCATCCATACTCTCTATCTCAATGAAATTCAACAATACATTTTTTTAGTTAGAAACATATCTAACTATTCAAAATTTAATTTTCACAATTCTAAATCTACACAAATATTAAAATATTACACTTTGACCCACCATATTTATGAAATGCAATGCTATGCATGTTCAGGTCTCACAGTTTTAATTTATACAATAATTATTGAAGATTAGTAGAATACAACCAATGGAGTTGTGAATTATTTGCTTTTGGAAATTTAAATCCATTTGGGATCTTCATGCATATCTCATTATCTAATGAGCCATATAAATATGCAGTAACTACATCTATTAGACACATATCCAATCCTTTAGAGATTGTAAGACCGACCAAAAATCTAAAAGTGTTAGCATCAATTACTGGGGAATATGTTTCCTTGTATTCAATGCCCGGTCTTTGTGAGAAACCTTGTGCCACAAATCATGTCATATACTGCACAATTTTTTATTTTTCTCATTGTGTTTCTCATGAACACCCATTTGCATCCCACGGGTTCAACACCTTGTGGAGTTTGGACTACAAGTTGAAATACAATGCATTTTGTTAGTGAGTTTAATAGCAAGAGCAAAAAAAAATGAAAATATATCATCCACGATAATTTTATTCCGTTCTCATCCTTTTCCATTGTGCACATAGTTTATAGAGATCTCATCTTTCTTAGGTACCTAGGCCTCTTCTCTTGAGGAACACAAAATTTTGGTTTGATAGTCTTTTCAGGAGCATTAATTTCTTTATGTACTCTCTCTTGTTCTCTTCTGTTTCTAAGGAGAATTTCTTTTGTATTGACAAGTCTACAATGCTTTAGGAGTGACTTAGATTCATTTACAACTGTGTTACTAGATTGTCCTATAGGAATCTTCGTTACTTTCTTCGTGTCGGTGAATGCATGAGGTAAGTGATTTGGAATACCTTACAAATTAATGATCATTTGAACTTCCAATTCACATTGATTTGTTCGGAGATCAAAATGAGCACTCTGGAGAATTCCAAGTGATTTCATGTTGTTCTTCTAGTTTATTCCCCCCCACCCCTCGGCGGGTGGCCAATGATGGAAAATTAACTCATTGAAATGATAATCTGCAGACCGTGATTTAAATACATCACTGGCTAAGGGTTCAAGCTATCTAGTTATCGAAGAAAAATCATATCCAACATAAATCACAAGTCGACGTTGTGGACCCATCTTGGTCCGTTGTGGTGGTGAAATTTGAACATATATAATACAACCAAAAAATGATAGGTGAGAAATATTTGGTTGCTAACCAAGAACAAGTTTGGCTGGTGAATATGTATGATATGTAATTGGTCGAACACGAATTAAAGATGCGACATACAATATAACACGTGTTCAAGTAGAAATAGGTAACTTCGTCTTCATAAGTATAGGTTGATTTATCAATTGAATACATTTAATAAAAGACTTAGCTAGACGATTCTAAGTGTGAGTGTCTACAAATGATGATCAATATCCATTCCTACTGACATGCAATAATTATTGAATATTTGGGACGTAAAATCACCAGCATTATCCAAACAAATTGTCNATTTTTAATTTATACAATAATTATTGAAGATTAGTAGAATACAACCAATGGAGTTGTGAATTATTTGCTTTTGGAAATTTAAATCCATTTGGGATCTTCATGCATATCTCATTATCTAATGAGCCATATAAATATGCAGTAACTACATCTATTAGACACATATCCAATCCTTTAGAGATTGTAAGACCGACCAAAAATCTAAAAGTGTTAGCATCAATTACTGGGGAATATGTTTCCTTGTATTCAATGCCCGGTCTTTGTGAGAAACCTTGTGCCACAAATCATGTCATATACTGCACAATTTTTTATTTTTCTCATTGTGTTTCTCATGAACACCCATTTGCATCCCACGGGTTCAACACCTTGTGGAGTTTGGACTACAAGTTGAAATACAATGCATTTTGTTAGTGAGTTTAATAGCAAGAGCAAAAAAAAATGAAAATATATCATCCACGATAATTTTATTCCGTTCTCATCCTTTTCCATTGTGCACATAGTTTATAGAGATCTCATCTTTCTTAGGTACCTAGGCCTCTTCTCTTGAGGAACACAAAATTTTGGTTTGATAGTCTTTTCAGGAGCATTAATTTCTTTATGTACTCTCTCTTGTTCTCTTCTGTTTCTAAGGAGAATTTCTTTTGTATTGACAAGTCTACAATGCTTTAGGAGTGACTTAGATTCATTTACAACTGTGTTACTAGATTGTCCTATAGGAATCTTCGTTACTTTCTTCGTGTCGGTGAATGCATGAGGTAAGTGATTTGGAATACCTTACAAATTAATGATCATTTGAACTTCCAATTCACATTGATTTGTTCGGAGATCAAAATGAGCACTCTGGAGAATTCCAAGTGATTTCATGTTGTTCTTCTAGTTTATTCCCCCCCACCCCTCGGCGGGTGGCCAATGATGGAAAATTAACTCATTGAAATGATAATCTGCAGACCGTGATTTAAATACATCACTGGCTAAGGGTTCAAGCTATCTAGTTATCGAAGAAAAATCATATCCAACATAAATCACAAGTCGACGTTGTGGACCCATCTTGGTCCGTTGTGGTGGTGAAATTTGAACATATATAATACAACCAAAAAATGATAGGTGAGAAATATTTGGTTGCTAACCAAGAACAAGTTTGGCTGGTGAATATGTATGATATGTAATTGGTCGAACACGAATTAAAGATGCGACATACAATATAACACGTGTTCAAGTAGAAATAGGTAACTTCGTCTTCATAAGTATAGGTTGATTTATCAATTGAATACATTTAATAAAAGACTTAGCTAGACGATTCTAAGTGTGAGTGTCTACAAATGATGATCAATATCCATTCCTACTGACATGCAATAATTATTGAATATTTGGGACGTAAAATCACCAGCATTATCCAAACAAATTGTCTTAATTAGATAATCTGGGAATTTGTACTCGCAATTGGATTATTTGAGTTAAAAGTTTTGTAAAGGAGCGAAAAGTTTTGTAAAGGAGACATTTTGTATAGAAAATAGACACACATTTGACCATTTTGTTAATTCATCTACTAAAACCATGAAATAACGAAATGACCCCCATAGAGGGTGTATTGGTCCATATATATCTACCTAAATTTGTTGCAAAAAGTCAGTAGATTTAGAAATCATTTTTCGAAGGTATTGTCTAATAATTAGTTTACCTTTTGAACAAGCAGAACATGGATAATCACTTAGTAAAAAAATCTTCTGGTTCTTTAGAGAATGTTCATGTGATTTCTCAATGATTCTATGCATCATTATTGATTCTGGATGACTAAGATGATCATGTCAAAGCATGATTTTTTTTTGGATCAGAGCTCTTTGGTGCATCATAATATTTGATTATAGAAATTTTATTTTGGTATAGTACAACTCAAAAGAGAGTCTGAAATTTTTCTAGTACATGCTTCTGGTGTGATACAATAGATATGATGTATAAATATTTTATATCATCCTCATTCATCGTTTCAATGTGATATCTATTACGATGTATATCTTTAAAACATATTGCTGCATCAACTAGAGCATAATGCATTTTTAATAAAGAGTTTTGTTCCTCGGGATAGCATCATATTTTCTTTGTCAGATCCTTTAATTAGGTATGCAGGACCTAATGTTATATCAATACAACATCAAGCAAATACAAAGGGCTAACTTATCTGAACTTTTTCCAGCAAGAAATACACAAAACCAACCCTTATATCTCACAACTAGAGTTGTAACTAAAGCAATGTAAATCCCACAAATACATATTAGTTGTATAAACAAATGTATGTGTACTTGTAGAAATAAAGAAATGGAGATGAATAAAATTACGGCAAAACGACTTCAATTACTATAATAACAAAACATTCATTAATACCATTAAATAGAAGTAGTCAAAGTCACATTCGTCATTAATGAATATGTCATCCTCCTCTATATCATCACCATAGAAGCTTCCTCCACATCATCGTCATTAATGAAACTATCATCTTCATTAGATACCATCTCCATTGGACCTTCATGCAGTATGGTTTTAGCATTAAAATGATCTAATGGCATCATATGATCCCTTTCCAATGAGGGCAATATATCAACATCAAAAACATCATCAAATTCATCTTCTTGGTGAGGCTCTCCATAAAAAATTGATTGTTCCCTAATAGATCAGGAACATCAAAAGACCCATGAGGTTGAATTCTTTCCACAACACGCCAATTGTTGCCTAACTTGACATCTTCCATATGAAAAACTTGTTTGGCTTGCCATGCTAGCTCAAATGGTTGGTCAACATACCATTTTCGTGCTATATTTACACTGGTGACTTTTCAATCCTTATCTATTTGGATGCCTGTATTATCCTTCACGTCCCACCAATCACATTTAAACAATAAAACCTTCTTTTGTTCGAGTAAATATTCTAACTCAATAACATCGGTGATCATGTCGTAGAAGTCTATAATTGTTTGATCATGCTCTCCTTCCACAACCACACCACTATTTTGTGTTTTCCTTTTATTCTCATGATCTCGAGTGTGGAACCTAAATCCATTCACATTGCAGCCCGTGTAGTGTTTCACACGTTTGTTAGGACCCTTGGCTAAGATCATAGTTCTTTGCTGGCATGCCCTTCACTGTGCAATTGTTTAACCTATTATTGCAAACACATAAAATCAATATAACTCAAGCTAAATAATCAAATTTGCACAAGCATGATGATAACACCTGACATGGAACACAAGACATTAGAATAAACTTACACGTTGCTCAAACCACTTAGAGAATTTGGAGTCATGCATTTGATTTACATTCCTCGTATTCTCGGCCTTTAGCTTTCCATTGTGCTTGCTATGAATAAGATGAATTATGTCATGAATATAAGGACACAATTAATAAAAGAAAAAAAATACATGGATTAAAAAAAAATAGACTTATGCCACAATTTTCAATCTCTTTGCAGTTATTCAATACATAGATACGAGCCTTCTCGCACTCAACGTTATTCAACTCACCATAAATGACTCCACCGAATGCATGACCATTATCTGCAAATACAAACAACTCTCCCGATTTTTCACCTCCATCATAGTTCCATTTGACACGATTGAATCTTGTCTCAACATTCTGTAGGTACATAAAACAAAATGTCAAACATTCGTTGTCAATGTAACATTCGACAATTGACTATTCTGATCGAGCCTTATTATGTACATAACCCTTTAATTTAGTCATTTGCCTATTGATATGCATGATCAAACAATTAAAGAATTAATGACATTAAAATGACTAATTCTTAATTAATCACTTAATTAATTTTACAACACCTTTCGAACAAAAACATCCACCAATATTGCATTGGTCCAGCAATCTTGGCTTCTGTAACTAAGTGAATCATCAGATGCACCATTACATCAAGTAATGCCGGAGGAAATGTTCTTTCAAGTTTGCATAGTGTCAAAACAATCTACCTCTCAAGTTTATCCAATGCATCCAAATAAAGTGTTCTAGAGCATAACTGCTTAAAGAAATTACTAAGCTCAACTCATGACTGACACACTTCCTTATTCAAGAAGCCACGTAATACCACTAAGAGTATACACCGAAGGAAAATGTGACAGTCGTGGCTCTTCATTCCTGAAATACGACACTCCTTATTCTTTATAAAACAAGAAATGTTTAAGACAAAACCATCTGGAAACTTAATTGATGTCAAGAATTCAGAATTTTTGTCTTCTCATATCATGCGACAAGTGGTAACATGCAGAAGGCATAAGAACTTTATCATCGTCGAAACGTAGATGTAATTCAGGCCTTAAGCCCATGGCAATCAGATCTTTGTGCGCCTTCCAGTTGTCCTTAGTTTTTCCCTTGATGTTCATTAATGTTCCAAGCAAATTATAACATACATTCTTTTCTATGTGCATGATATTGAGATTGTGCTGCAATAGAGGGTTTTCTAGTATGGCAATTCAAAGAAAATGCTCTCCTTTGTCCAATTCAAATCAATGTCCTTATGTTTTCTCCTTTTTTTTTTCTTTTGGATAAGTTCAAGTGCCTTACCAAACTCAACTGAGTCAATAGTATTCAAATATTCGAATATGTCATCCCCAGATAATGGTTTAATTGGATCCCTGAAGTCCTTCTGACCATCAAATGCCTTCATCTCCTTCTGCCATCTATGATACTCGATAAGAAACGACGATGTCCCATGTAGCAACACTTTTTTCCATTGGCCACATATAGAGAAGAAGTCTCACTCATACGAATTGAACAAGCCACATATCCTTTGGTGCTCCATCCAGACAAGTTAGCATAAGCAAAAAGTCGTTAATAGTCCATATCACTGCTGCACGCAAGCAAAACTTTTGTTCGGTGTAAGCATCATATCTCTCAATGCCATCCTCCCACAATTCCTTTAATTCATCAACTAACGGTTGTAGAAATATATCAATGTCATTTCCTAGAGAAGTTGGTCCAAGAATAATCATGGACATCATAAGAAACAGATACTTCATACATCTCCAAGGAGGTAAATTGTATGGCACAAGAAATATGGACCAATTGTTGTAAGCATTACTCATGTTGCCAAATGGCTGGAAACCATCGCTTGCTAGACCTAGTCAAAAATTGCAATGGTCCTGGGCAAATAATTCATGCTTCTTCTCAAACACTTTCCAGACATCTGAATCAGCCAGATGCCTCGAAACATTGTACTCATCAACACGTTTCTCGTTATGCCACCTCATATAATGAGCAATGTTTTTATTGATAAATAATCTCTATAGTTTAGGCTTCAATGGAAAATAACGCATGACCTTTCAAGGTATCCTCTTGGATCCTTCAAACTTCCATCTCGACCTCTTACATTTTGGACAATTATCTAAATCCTTATATTCCTTCCAAAAGATTGCATAGTCATATGCGCAAGCATGTATTTTCTCGTAAGTAAGACCCAAGTAAGTAAGGCCCAAGTCACGAATAACCGTTTTTTGCCTTATAATATAACTTGGGAAATGTGTCAATAAGAGGAAGCACATCCTTCAACACTTCAAGTAACACATCGAAGGAGTTATTGCTCCAACGATACATCATTTTTATATGAAGCAACTTCACAAGAAAAGATAGTTTTGAATACTTCTCACAGCCCCGGTAAAGTTCTTGTTCTGCATCCTTTAACAAATCTAGAAATATATCTGCTTCCCAGTGGGCCACATGAACACTTTTGCCAACAGATTCTTCTCCACCACCCCAATTGTCCCCAAAACAGCCAGTGGCAATATCATGTATCATTCCATGCATGTAATCACATTCAGTATCTTCCTCGTCATTTTTTTCATCACTATCATTATAGTCAGAATTTTTTTCAAAGGCTTGACCATGATATATCCACCTAACATAACTCTTAACTATTCTGTTTATCACTAAATGATTTTCCACAATTTCTTGAGTTTGGTCGTTAGAGTTGTTACACTTGATACAAGGACATGGGATCTTATTATGTGGTTCTTTATGGGCATACACAAACTAAAGAAAGTCTTTACACCTTCTTGTTAAGTATGGCGCAATCTATTCTTTAGTTGTATCCAACTCCAATCCATATCTGTGGTCCTGGCCCAACGTTTTCAACATGCAAGAGTATAGTGTTAGGTACATATGAAAAGCATACACATGTCAATCCTCAATGATTCAATTAGGATGCACGAAAATATTCATAACAAGCCTTACAGTTATCAAGGATAAATAAGCAACATTAGATTTATCAAGGATAAAAATCAGAATTATATTTGGTTCTATTTACAATGGGTAAAAGGGCAATGTCATCGATGATAGATAATAGGTTTTACCAAACAAAAAAAAAGTAGATATATGTTGGGGTACACCTCAGAGAACTTTGCCCATAGCCTTCAATTTGTTCTCCAATTAGTTTGCTTTCATTTGATTAGTGCAAAGGAGATGTAAATAAATGTGAAAATCAATTGAACAAAGTTCAAGGGGAAAAAATAAAATTTCACATGCAAAACAATTAGGTAGGCTTTTACATGTAATTTAATTAAACAAATAGAAGAAATAATTTCACATACAAAACAATTGAACAAAGTCCTATTCCCGAAGCAAGCTCTGCTTTTATAAGAAGTCTTGATAAGACAAACTAATCCGATTCCTAATATAATCAGACAAACTAACCCTATTCCTAATATAATAAGAAAAACTAATCCTATTCAAATAGAATAAGACAAACTTGAAATTTTTTTTAAAGAATTTCAGATAGAGAGACAAACTTGAAAGGATTTCTAAAGAATAAGTCAGTGGTTGTTTAATCCGTAGTACATATGATATATATACAACCGATGGAACAATAGAGGTCAAGTGGCATGAGAGCAAATAACTAACCTCCACACTTATAATATTAGTAAGTGTTTCTGAGACTAAGGGAAAAGATTAAGCTCACTGCTGAGACTTCTGAGAGTTGCCGAAAAGAGGATTGAAGAGTATTACCGAAAAGCTTAAGCTCACTGCGATGAAAGATTGAAGAGTATTGCCGAAAACTTACCAAAAATTTCTAGTCTCGTTAGCCACCAATAGTTTGCCTGTTGATTTCAGTGGGAAATAATGGGCAAATTCGCCAAGAGAATGATCAGAGATAGGGAAAATTCGCCGTAGAGGATGACAGGGTGGCTCAACATTAGCGACGGTCAATGATATTTTTATATTTTTTTAATAATAATTTAATTTTTTAATTTAAAATCTATTATTTTTATTTTTTGATGAGAATTGAAATTGCTAATTTTTTTATTTAAATTTTACTAATATATTTTTTTAATTAATAATATTACTTTTGATCATAAATATTTATATAAATAAAATTAATTTCTTCGTTAATATTTTTTTGTTCTTTTTATTTGTTTTATATGTTCTTTATCGAAACTGTGAATTCATTATTATTTTTTTTTTGAATTATTTTACTATCTTTAACTTTTATTTATTTATTCATGCGACTTTCATCTAAATTTTTGTTATATTTTTTTGTTTCAAATAACAACTTTATCAAAAACATTTTTTTTTAATGAGAATGAATGGTTTAATTGGTATTTTGCGTTCAAATGAGAAAAAAAAAACAAATTTAAGAGAAGTAAAA